TCTGAAAAGCTGTCTTTAAAGTATTAACAAAATAATGCGGAATTCAGTATATCAATAGTTTCATTAATTACTACAAAAATAATGTCAGACATTTTGACTTATGATGTATGCCACAAAATGCCAAAGTGCTATAATAAATTTCAAGATTTCAAAAAAATGTTCACATTGAAAACAATTGAAAGCATGCAGAAAAGAGCCTTTTACGTGTGCAGAGATATGCATTAAGTTTATAAGTTTCAAATGATACCGGACAAATGTGAGCCATTAAGATTTTCGCATTTGTATCTCAAATGCATATAAAATTGCAATAAAAATTTGCTGATAGCTTTTCTATGTTGCCTACCACATACCGTATACGTACAAGACCATTCAACTAACATGGTACGAGTATATTCAAAACCGATCCAACCCAATACCGAAGACTGCCACTGTTGATGTTCACCATCACATTTCGTACATTTATGGAAATATGGCAGACACCAAGTCACGCACGTTTTGTAAGCTGCCCGACGGATTGGGCACCAGGCACTTTGATTAGTTCTAACATATTTTCCTGACTTTAGAGCAGATTGCTTCGGAGCAGCACAGCCATTTAATTACAACGCCACTTGTGGTTACATTTATAATCATGGCTGTTTCTTTTCTGTTTCTCTGCCGGAATTTATTGTACCTAATATAAAGTCATGATTTATGTTTAACTATAATTTAGACAATTTACACTATCGTGTATGCTTATGTGTTATACCCGTACTTATGGCATAACAAATGTAAGCAGCGCTGACAGTTTGACTGGCAGTTTTATGAACGGAAAAAATTGTGAAAAAAATTACAGGCACAAATCCATGAACAGTAGCTAATGACATGCTCATGTTAATAAGATAACTTCAAGTTATGTACTGGTTGTGCTTTATGATTTAAAACTTAAGATTTGCTAATGTAAGACCATTTTTCACATTGCTAGACACACATAGCAGTTTTTTAAGTATTTCTCTGCATGATATTAATTTTAAAAGTGATCATCACGAATATTCAGTGATTAATAATCAATTTGTATAAATCGAAATATTTTAAAAAAAATTATTAATAATTTTGTAGAAATGCAAAATTATAGAAAAATCAATTGCTTGCCTTCACCTTATCAGATTGGATATGTTGGATTTTTTAAATTAGATCCAAACTCGCCATTATTGATGAGGTGAACTGAAGCTTTCTAAAATAACTCTTACTTATTACAATTCCTACATATCTTCATTTTTCCATATAATTTCTCTCTTTTTCATTTGATTACAATGCTTAAAATAAGATTTAAAAATAATACTTAAGAATATTTATCAATATTATAATATTCAAATAAAATTTGAATATATTGAATAAACTCTTGTCAAAAAGATCACAAAAAAAAGAACACTGGCATATACTTCAAACACTATCTACGAATAGCTCTACTTAAATCATGTTATAGTCGGATTTTTTAAATTTGATTCAAACAGTCCATTATGGATAAGGTGAACTGAACCGAAAAATAACTCTTATTTATTACATTATATTATTTTTTATATAAAATTTCTTTCTTTTGCATTTGATTAAATTGCTTAAAATAATATTTGAAAATAATATTTAATAATATTTATTAATTTAATGACCTATCTGTTAAAATCACTAAAACAATCGAAAGGAAAGTAGACAATTTAAAAATATCTTTTAAACCATATACACAAACTCAAATAACAATATACCAAACTTAAAGATCGTATTAAAACGAAGAACATTATTAACTGTGTGTATGAAATTCCATGCACTGGGACTAATAATAAAAGTCAGAAATGTGAACTCTGCTAACATATATTGGCCAAACAAAAAATCAATTACATAAAAGGATTAGTCAGCATAAAAGTAGTATAAAACAAATTAATGCTGATAAACAATCAGCCTTAGTCTCACACTTTATTGACAAAAATCATTCCCCATATTTTGCTTCAGTAAAGGTCTCGACTCCTTTCACTGGAGTCCTTACATATTACGACTACACCAACATACAATTTGCGGCGAGATGTAGAAAATATTTCTGTTGTCTATTGTTCAATGCTAGAAAGGTAATTTTAAAGAAAAACTGATTGTATATTTTTCATTGTAATTATTTAAAACAATTGTCAAACAAAAAATCTTAAACAACCGAAACGTCGGAAATATAGATTAAATAAATAAAACAATAAAAAAAATTTTATTAAAAAAACCAAACCAAAAAATCTGACTATTTAGCCCATCACTCAACTATAATAAATATTGATTAATATTTAATATTCAAATAAAATTTGAACATCTTAAAAAAACTTTTGCCAAGAAGACCAAAACATTTCAGTGGAACTTAGTTTAATGTTAAAAAAATTCTCAATAGAAATGAGTTAAATGCTTAAGTCTGAAATCTTTTTTGAATTTTATGATATCATGAATTACCATTTTAAAGTTAAAACGAAAAAAATTCCTTATATAAAGCATACCTAAGAATTATAGATTTTCTCAGATAGCTTTCAAAGATCGGATATGTTAACTTTATTGTTTGATATCCTATAATTGTTTCATGTATATGGTACAATAAAGCACCTCAACATCTTTCAAAGGAGTACACTAAGAAAAATTATTACCCCAGTATTGAAGATCAATAGATTATATCGAGTTTACCGAAATAAGATACTCAACTTGTATTGAAAATATTCTTGAATTTATAAAGTCAAAGCGAGTTTGGTGATTAGGGCAGGTCACACGCAGAAAAAATGATGAGTGTGAACTTGCTGACTGACAAGCAATATCATGTTATTTGGGAAAATAAAAAAAAAACATAGATGGGTAATTATTAACGGAATACACCCATAGCAGTTTGCTAAAGCCTTTTGTTAAGCTTCTATCAGTAGTAGCTTTATATGTGATGTTTAGCATAACCTTAGGACGAGTCAGATACAAAAGCAAAATTAGTTTTAGGCTTATTTCTAGAATTTTATAAAGGATATCTTAACATACTATTACTCGTTATATATTGTAACCTAATTACTTGCTAATTTGAAGTTTTTTATTTGAAATTTTTATAAAATATTACAAAGATATTTAACTGAATAGTTTTATGGGAGTTTTTGTAATTGAAAGCACATTAAAGGAAAATTTTTTAAACATGAATTATAAGTGCATAGATATAATGCTGAAAACTATTTTATTTGTTCAGTTATGGTGCAAATATATGACCAAACCAGATAAGTCGCTGAATTTTCATGCGCATAACTATGTCAATGTCGCGGTATAGCTCATACAGCTCATCGTTCCATCTAATTCGGTACTCGTCTCCAACACGTAAAGGACCATAGACCTTCGGAAGAATTTTTCTCTAGAAATAACAGCTGTTGCCAAAATTCTTTGTTGAATCTCTAGGCTGACAAACTTTTTCAAAACTTTGAAATTTTAATTATCAACAGTGACGTGAATCCCAAGACACTTAGGAGATTTGTTTGTTGACAGAAAGTACTTTGTTTTGTCCTCATTTACCACAAGACCCATTGCTATGCTTACTTTTCTAAGTTGGATAATATCACACTGACGGCAAGGGTATTCAGGTCAATGATATTAATATCATCTGCATACATAAGCAGCATTGAACGTTTGTAGAATATTATGCCATTGTGGTTTAAATCTGTTGCTCGAATTATAGTTCCCAATATAAGAAGTCACCTTGTCCGAAACCACGGATCGGAGGTCAGTTCTAATAATATGTGAAACAATATTCGCGATGTTTTAGATCCAGCAACCGATTCTTTTATTTTAAACTTTTTCTGCCATAGAAATCTACAGTCGAAGTAATACTACACTTTCTTAAAAATAGCTTTGAGTTTATGCAATGCAAGAATAAATACTTCCAAATTGAACAGGAATTGAAAAATAATTATTATTGATATTTCTGTGTTTATAGAATTGTTACCTAGCTGAGTACATGGAACATTAAAGTAAGCTTCGCCAGGTTGGTTTGGAATCAGCATAATATATATGCGAAAGAATCTTAAAAAAAGTACCAAATCATTACGTTCATTTTATAAGGGCGTGAATAGTACAACTAACCATAATTTTATTTGGAGAAAAAATTATTAAAATCAATATATACTTTTTTTGTAATTTCCTAGGAATAATTTTTATTCTAGTAAAAAATTTAAAGTAAATAAATTTTTAAAAATTGTGAACGAAAAGAAATGTCTAATTTTTGATTTAATAAGAACAAAGTACATATATATAAAACCTTTTCACACTATACGAATTTGACTTAGATGTAGTACATTTTTGGAACCTTCAAAATTAAATTTTTATTTAACTTTGTGTAGTTGAATTTTATTTGTTTATAAACTTTTATAAAGAGAAAAATATTTTTGTTGTTATTTACAGGTAGAATAAAATTGTGCATTCGTGGTATGTATAGTTATAGAGGCAAACATACAAATAAGTAAATAAACCAATACAAATACATAATTAAAGTATGTACTCTTTAATAAAAATTGTTGTGGTTTTTTTCTTTAATGTTGGTTACCCAAGACTAACAACAATAACATGAACAAACTAAACAAGCATGCGCAATTTGTATCTCACAGATACTTATCGCTGCGACGTTTACTTTCGCGTACGCTTATCACAAAACTGATAAGATAACAGATACACTGTATTGTTATGTGTACTATGTTATTTTATATATATGTATATATGCGTAGTAATCATATAAATAAATCATAATATACAGATATAGGTATATGGTATACGGTATACGGTAATATGATATCAAGGTGTACGTGAGTAGGACACAAATTTTCCCGCTTTTATGGTTTTGGTTAACCACCGCTGGTTCTAAAGGTAAATTTGTTTGTTACCGTTTGTCTGAAATTGCTTTTGTATGCAGCTATGAGTGTGTTCACTTTATCGGTAGTAGTACCAGGGAAGGTGCTAATGTGCTGGTTTCAATCGATGTGGAGGAAAGGTGCTAAACGCGCATTGCGTCTCGTCTCATCGTCTCTGTTATAGATACAAGAATAAAGTTAAAAAATAAGAAATTATTTACCCAAATGTTGAAAAACGTTTAAATCAGATCGGAAAACAATTCAACTCTTGACGTTGGACATAGAGAATTTTTTTAGTTGTGGTCTGTACTAAAAACGCGACACAGGTTAAATGCGTTAACGGTACGCAGCAAGTGTCACCCAGATTTCAATTCGTTGAAGTGGCGCGTAATAATTTAGAAATAATAAAATTGAACTTTTACGCAAAAAAAAAAAATCATAAAGTTAATATTAGGTTAAAAGTGTGTATCGAAAATATATAAAAATTAATTATAAACATATTTGGAAGTAAAAAATAATTGCTTATGGTTTGCGATAATAGTGTTTTGAGATTCACAATGCAAATTAAGGTTAGTATAGGAGTACTTAATTTTTACTAGTTCATAATATGACTGGAATTAAACATAATTAATGAAGGATTATATATATATGATTTATATATTGGAAAAAATTATATTTCCTTAAATAAAATTTAATCTCAAATATCAATTAAAATGGTAAAATATTGAATTATAACGATGAAATTTTTTAACGATATAATATATATTGATATAATTTATAATAATATAACTTATAATGATATAATAAATGATGATATGATTTATAATGATATAATATATACTGAAGTTATATATAATTATGTTATTTATGCAATTTAAAAAAATATAAATATGTTACACAAATTTTAATATGAAAACTTGATATATAACACTATAAATTCAAGCCGATATCATATTTTATATATATAATAACAAAGGTTATGCAAAAATAACATTACTAAAATTAAGAAACAATTTATTATGTATGAATTTGGTTCAAAAACTGTAATATTTACATATAATGGTATTAAAAATATAATATTATTGTTCATGTGACCACTAGAATTTTATTTAATATAATATATATATATACATAAATATAATAATATATATTTATACACAAATATAATAATATCTATTTATACCATATTTTTTTAAATATATGATAAAATTTTTTGTGTTTTAAACAAAACATATTATTTAAAACAATTAAATATTATTCAGCTGATTACTAAAGACCCAACATATCCCAAGATATATAATATAATAAAAATATTTTTTTTATATAAAAATTAATTATTTAGAAACGAAAATTAGTTTCATAAATGAACTGGTTGTTTTATAAGTTAATGTATTATATATTATACATTGTATATAAGCTAATACTTTCTCAAATATTTCTCCGTAGTAAAACATTGGAAAATGAAGTTATAATACGCATTAAATGCCATTAAAAATAATAATAATTTGTTCTTATGTACAAATAACAGTAGTTATTAAGTATAAGTTCATTTATACATTTCTTAAGCAATTTTACTGAGCGTTTATAAGAACAGTAAGGAGAAGCTTTAAATATATATATTCTACAAAGTCTAAAAAGCACAACAAAAAAATACAGGACTGTACAAGGTTAATCTAATGACTTCTATGGTAACAGTATAATAAGTTACTCTAGACACATTTATTGGTGTTGCTGAAACTTTTTATTTTATTACACCACCATATAGTTCCTTAATTTAAACACAATACTGTTATAATAGGGATGTTCATGATTTCGAGTAACGCGATGGATAATTGAGTAACATGGTAACAACAACATTTGTGTACTTGAAGCACTTTTACCACTTTACTCAGTTACCAAGCTCGTAATAGTGAGTACCCACGCATGTGACTCTCCTAGTGACAAAGTGCAAAGTGTTAAAAGTGCATGACTAGGACAACTTTAATATAAAACAATTTTAATTATATGCTAAATTGCAGAGTTGATAATTCGTTAAAAATACCATTACACTAGTACTATTAATAAATTAATTGTTTTTTCATTAACTAATATTATTAATAAGTATAACTACATATAAAGTAAACAGTTTTCTGTGTTACTGTATGCTAGAAGGAATTTCAGAAAAATTCATATATTTCATTGAATCATATCTTATTCCATCTTTAACTTAAAAAAGAACAAAACTAGTTTACGAATCAGCGCAAAATTTAATTATTTGATCCCCATTTTTATTGCTCAACTATTATGATCACTATTGAGATCAATAATATTTTAATGATTAATACTCCTATTTAAAACAACTAGAGCAATCAGTCTAGTACAAACTTAAGGCCATCTTCCAAACAAGGTTAAATGTAAAAATGTCATTTTGGTTTGAATTGTAAGCAAAGTCTGTATTCCAAGCACGATGTTTAATGACTACGACTAATGTCTATAATTATACTTATCGGATTGAAAAAAAAGACACAAATTTGACTATTGACTATTGGTAATTTATGACATTCAAAAATTAAAATTATAAATTAAAATGTCGAATGTTATTCTATTAAGAAAAGAACCAGACAATAGTCCTTTCCGACACAATGTGTGCTCTAGAGAGATTCAGAACATACGTAGTCGTATATTAAAATAAATTTATTACAAAAAAGTTTTATATAAAATAACAAAATATTGTAGGAACAAAAAACTGACACATTTCAAATCTGTTAGACAGAACGAAGTCTGTCGGGTCCGGTAGTTTTATATAAAAATACAAAATCTTTTATTAAGAAACTTTAATCGAAATATAAATTTTATATATAAGATATGAGAATAATACGTTCACACAACAAAAGACGACAATTGAAGCTGCCTATACAATTTATATATATACGAATTCAATTTTAAGAATTTTCCTCCATATAACAGTCAAGTAATTTAACCAATATATTAGAATTACGCGATCCTTCATTATTGTGATTCCTACATTATTTACTTTTTCATTCATAGAAATGCATATTGTTTTGAAGAAATATTTAAATTTTTAAGATATAACAATGATATATCGATTTCACCATATTAACTATTTGTTTCTTATACTACATCAGTTCAGGCTAAAGCGTTGAATGTAATATAATAACATAATGTATAATATGATATATATTAAATAATATATTAAAATAAAATAATATGTTTCTGTAAAATGAACTTTTATAAAATCATAACAAATTAACAATAACAATAACAAATAACAAATTAAATTACAATAAATCGAGAGAATATGATATGCTTTGACTACTACAATAATTGTATAACCGATTACTGGTTAGTCGAATGTGAGAATTCTGTTCATCTATGATCGCATGACTATTATCTTTAATTTGAACTAAAATTGCAATACAATTTTGTTTTTCTGTTTTTATCTATGTAAAAAAATAATATTTCCAATTATTATGATATTGTAAACTTGAATTTACTATTAGGTACGTAGTAACACTTCAGTTGTAAACATAATAATCTCATCAATTATTCTCTGATTTAATAAGATTTTTGAACATTGCTTTTTAAATATTTTAATTTCATATTTATTAATGTCATATCATATCATATTTCTTAATATTCTATAAAATTATCTTTTATCAACCTTGTACCAATAATTGATTTATATTAAATTCAGTTTTCACTACCACAATTTAGTAAAGACTTTCGCTGTCTCTAATATAGATATGTGGATATATAGTAACATAGCTAAGACTCCGTCGGTATTTAAAAATTTATATCTTTATATACTATACAATATATTATACATTATTTTAGAAATTCAAACATACCTAAGACGTTTATTTTTTAAAACTTTAAAAAAAAATTAAAAAATTTTTTTAACCAAATGACTCATTATTCCAATATAAGAATCTAAATATATGCTAAAAACCAATGCGACACATTAAAACCAATACGAAAAAAATCCATTAAAAAATGTGGAAAGATGCCTTATCTTTATGAGGCAACTAAATGTAGCGGTGGCGTCAAAATTCCTTTTCATAAAAAAGGTTGACAGAAAGATATAAAAAATAACAAAAAAGAGCAAGAAAAAAAATAATAAAATAAAATAAAAATCAACAGTCAATTAAAATGGGAACTAAATAAAGTGAAAACAATTGGCAGCGGGTCAGAAATTAGAAAAATGTGTCTGGAAATGTATTCATTCATAAAAAGTCAAACTGACCTCAATCAAAGGAAACACATAAAAGAATATATGTAATAGATATTGCCTAAAAAATAAAAGAAAAAAAATTAAATGAAAAGGACACACATGTATTTTCATATTCGAATTGGTATATTATGTACTTATTATCACCTTTAAAAAAAAATATTATGAACAGTAATTTTCGTAAAGGATCTTTAATGCGCAGGTATACTGTGAAGATCGGAAGCTAAAGTCAGAGATAATAGCACAAAAAAAATTCTATCTATTTTATTGATATTTTATGAATGAGATATATTTAAAAAAAACTTATTATTATATATAAGGGTTGTTCCGAACAAATGGATATACATTTAGTGAACAGGAAGTTCTGTTGACCAATCATATTAAGGCTATTTAACAGTTGATAATATTTTATCTGCAACTGATATATTCATTAGACACGCGACAATGTATTTCATTTTAGAGAAGGATCAGGTTATATGAATATATATGCAGAGTTATATATTATCAAATGGGGTTATTAAAGGATCACATAATATGTATGTATTATCGCTAATTTGATAGCGTTGGCGCCCGTCATATTGCTTTTGACTTGTTCGTGTGTAAGGCACTTCAAAAGAATAAAGTCGCAGTGTTTTCAGTGTTATAAGACTAAAAAAATTTTTTTTGAATTTCAATTTTAAAGAAATACAAAATTTTTATTACTTCATTTATTTTATTGCAGACACACATTTTTATTGATTTTCATTGATATATACATAAAACTGCATTTAATTGCTGGTTTCAGTTAGATAATTTACTGTTTTATAACATGACAATATATTCATTAATAAAACTGAACTTAATTTTCGATTTTATTGTTCGATTTTAATTTAATTTATAACATGATTTGTACTGGTACTCCCAGTTAATTAAAGAGGAAATTAACTATACACATTTAATGCGTTATAAACTTATTAGGCTATAAACTGAAATTTTAATTGATTGAATAATTGATAGAAATAATTTTATTGTATTGGTTATGTTTATATATTTAAATGAAAAAATATTGACTAAACATGTATACTGAAAATTTATTGATTTATTAAATTATTTATAAGTGGACTAATAAAAGAATTTAACTGAAAAATGAAGTTAACAATTTTAATTCAAAATTAAATTAAAATCAAAAATTATTCCAATGATTGCATAATTAGTATACAGAGTTTTGTATAAATTTGTCTGTATTTTACATTTTTTTGTTTTTGTATACATACATTTATTTATTGTAGGCGTGCCTCTGGGACCGAATTCCTTCCCTTATGTAAATAGTAACAATAAGTTTTTTAATTCTTACACTAACAA